GGCCCAGTCGGGGGGGGGGGGACTAAGGCAGGTGCAAAAAGTAAGAAAAATCCAGGCCAGGGGGCTTTAGGAAAGAATAGAAAGCAGATAGCTGAGGAGCAAGCAAAGGACGTTCCGTTTCCCAACAGGGAAGGTTCCAGAACAATCAGGAACCTTCTGGAGACAATTAAGATAGGCTGATTAGAACACCTGCAGCCAATCAAGAAGCTGCTAGAATCAGTTAAGGCAGGCTAATCAGGGCACCTGGGTTTTAAAAAGGAGCTCACTTCAGTTTGTGGTATGCGTGTGAGGAGCTGGGAGCAAGAGGCACTAGGAGCTGAGAGTGAGAACGCGGACTGTTCGATGACTGAGGTGTACAAGCATTATCAGACACCCGGAGGAAGGTCCTATGGCGAGGATAAAGAAGGTGTTGGGAGGAGGCCATGGGGAAGTAGCCCAGGGAATTGTAGCTGTCGCATAGCTGTTCCAGGAGGCACTCTAGACAGCTGCATTCCAGAAGGCCCTGGGCTGGAACCCGGAGTAGAAGGCAGGCCCAGGTTCCCCCCAAATCCTCCCAACTGCTGGTCAGACACAGGAGGAGTCGACCTGGACTGTGAATTCAGAAAAATGGCCAAGCTGAGGGCTGCTGTGAAGCTCTCTAAGGCGAGCAAATCTGCCAATAAGCACAAGACCCACCAAGGTAGAGCAGGAACTTTGTCACTATATGTATGTGTGTGTATATATATATATAAAAAATATGCTATGCTTAAAAGTTATACTATATATATATAGTAAAACTTTTAAGCATAACATGATATTTTTAATATAGAGACTTGAAATCACACAATTTCTGAAACAGAACAAAAATAGGAAAACATATTGTTCATGTGAATAAAACAACAGTAAAATCCTGTCATTACTGATTTTGAAAAATATTTTGTAAGCATTCTTCAATGATATATTTTTCAGATGGTAAGGCTTAAGTTATAAATCAGAACTCTGCAAAAAACTGCCATCGATGACAGGAAGAGAAAAAAAAATGTTGTGGAAATGGGGAATTTCTACCTGAGGCAAATTCACAATTTTGGACAGCAACAGAACAATTATTTAGTTATTATTAGTTTGTAAATACTGAGGAAAATATCAGTTTTTCCATATGCAAACATTAAAGAGAATATCAGTACTTGTACTTTTGCATAGCACTAAATATAATAAGTTCAGTATCAGTGTTCTTTCAGTTTTCTTCCTTCCAGAGACAAAAGCAAGGACTTTTTAAAGTTTTCGTAGACCGTTACTATATAGGGCCATTTGATATGGCTTTAAGTTCGGCCATAACACAAAGAGTGCAAGGCAGCAGATGGTGTGCTAAGATAAGTTAGAACTCCCCTTTGTACTGCCCTGATCTTGGTGTTGCTTTATAGATGGCTGTTTCAGCCTTAGGTGTCTTCTAACTTTTGTTGGCTTTCAATGGCAACTATGGATGAAAAAAATATCTGAGGATAATTGTTGTGTAGGAAATGTCCCAGTCACATCTGCTTTTCTGCAGTCATACCCTCTCATTCCTGCTATGCCAGTAATAAAGAGTTGGTGTGGCATATGCATTCCTTTTCTGGGTTTGCACTACTATAACCAAGTTTCTGTTACCCTGCCATTAGATTAGTTAGGGTTATATGCACTTTTGTTGGCTGAAAACTTTGGTCATCTCCTAGGAAAATACTGCAAGAATTTAGTGTCCTGAGCAAGACTCCATATACTGGATGACGTCCCTCCACTTGAAGAAGGAAACGTAAGTGCTACATTAGAAGCCTTGTTTTAAAGAATTTAAGAAGTAAATTGACGCTTTTAATGTTTTTAAAGTGATTGCCGGGGGGTCTTCTTCTCATGGAGGATATGAAATAGCAGCTAATGAAGAGTGGTGGGCAGGATCTATGACCTCACCACCCTTCTGAAGTGATGGCATTGTGTATCTAATACTGCCAGAGCTAAGAAGTATTAGCTCTCTGCTGCTTCGTTTATACGGCTCTTTAGTTTAGTTTTATATAAGATCTATGAAATCACAAAGAGACACTTTGCTGTGCCTACAGTGGCAATTCCTGAAATGTATAAGAATTTACCAACTATTTCAGTGATGGCTTTATAGCAGTATCTATTGAACTATATACAATGGAAAAAAGAGTATGTGTATGGATTCTACAATATCCTAAAGGCTGTGTGCTGTTAAAACTGAACTGGCAGGGCTTACCTGGAGCTACTGAAAGTTACAAGTTTTCTAACAATCCTGATGAACACTGCAAGATGCTGTCCCTGTTTCTATGGAAACAGATTATAGACAGGCAAAAAGGGGCTTTAAAATAATCAATAAATCATCATGGACCAGGCTGTGATACCTGTACTTATGACGAATAGTACCTTATACCACGTGTAGTCCAACTGACTTCAGTGGGACTATCTGTGAAGTAACATATTACTCAGGGTGAGTAAGTGTGTCATAATCTCTCCCTGGGCATGTGTAAGCTCAATGTACTTGAATGTACCCATGCACACACACATACCAGTGCACATGTACACACACATATGTGTTTAAAATTAACTGATATATAGTAGCACAAACAGGAGCAACCTTTAATCCAATGTTGTTAGAATTTTTGCAGCGTTCAGTGGCTTAGGTTGAGCAAGGCCAACAATATTAAAGACACCAATGCTCCTAGAGACTTCAGGCTTTCCAGTCTGTAATAATTTTGGTCCCAGACTTCAAACTTTTTAAGCACACATGGACCCCTGCACCTGTATGGAGCCCTATTGCCTTCAGTGGGGCTGAGCACAGGGGCAGTGGTCTGCCTGTGTATAGTCAAATGCAGGATTGGGGCCTTTGTAGAAAAACATTCTAAGTATAAACAACATTTTAATGTGTTTTTAAACCTATGGAACTAGTTTTTTTCTCCTTATTTAAAAAAAAAGGATAACATCTTTTGGCCCATATTGAGGCTTATTAGACTGGATACAAACTGATGGATGAAGCAAGATTTCAGAACGCTTAAGAAAATAATGATCAACGGCTGGACACTGTCAATATCTTAGCATGACATGATGATAATCTTCTACCATAAATGACCAACACAACTGCCCCTACACATTCCCTTCTTTCACTCTGTCCAACTGCCACCTGTGACCTACAAAACAACAATGGTAGACACTAGAGCATAGAGGTGGAGAGCTCTTTCTGATACAGCTAATAGTAGACATCTCTGTTGTAACTGTGGCTAAAGCTAAGAAACTCTCATCAGTTACTGGACCAACATAGATATGACCAGACAAACTGTTCTGTGCAGCAATAATGCAAATGGTCCCTCTCAGGAAACATTCTGAGCATAGCTTGACACAAGGAGTTTGCCACTTGTATTTTACAGACAAAAGTGACAATATTGCACCAATCAGAGGCATCCACTGGATCAGCAGCAAAATATAAATGAGACAAATGGATGTGCTGGGAAGGTATAGAGTGCAACGGACAAAATGGACCAGGCTCCTCATGCCATTCTTAAATAAGTTGCGGTTATGTCTTTGCTCAAGAAACTGCCACCTGACAACAGTGCCAATTACTACCTTATCTTGAACCCTTTTAATGGTGGAGAAGATTGAAGATTATTAGAAGATTGTAGTGATATATGGATCTTTTTTTAATTTCCCAATTTATTTTCAATTTTCTTTTAGGCCTGGATATGGTGTAGAAAATACTTGATTGACAAATTCCTTTTGGTAATAGGGAAAAAAGGTCACATGTACATGTAAGTTTTATTAGTTCTGTCAGCAGCCTTTGATACCACTGACAACATGCTGCTGCTGTCCTGGTATCTGGAAGGACTGGACAAGGAAACAAGAAATGGAAAAAATCTTGAACTATTCAGCTCTGTGGAACTTGCCAGCAACATGTGTAAGTGTGCATCTGTATACACTTAAAAGATTTAAACACATTTTCTATCGGTCTTGCTCTATACACTATTTTCAAATTCTTATTTATTGGTTGAATCAAAATTATTTCTTTTTTCAAAGCAAATAACGAACACGTTTCAAATTACAAAACTCACCAATTTTGTTAGCTCCCTGTTTAAAAAAAAACTGTGATTAGAAATCTTTGTTCCCTTACTCTCCTTTAACGCAAACATGGCTAAAGAGCCCCTAAAGGCTCACATTTACAAAACATTAATAATAAATACTTTTCCTTCAGACAGAACAAGCATGGAACATTTCAATCTAAGAGGTAAGTGTTTGGAAAAGCTGTGAATGAGTGAATGGAATCTGCTATAAGGCTTTAAGCATAGCCCACTACACTGGGTAAACATACAAGAAAAAACTCCTCTATTTTTACACTTAGTGTCCCTCATATTTACTTATCATACCACACTGAAATATCACTGCATGAAATAAAAACAGTAATGACAATTTATAAATAAGGAATTGAAGCTATTTTGTAATTAAGCTGTAGAATCATGGCAGCATTAAATAACAGTCCCTTATAACACAAACAAAAAAATCAGTTGATAAAAATATTGATCTACATTAAGATCATTCATTTATTCTTATATGGAAAGGCAGAACACCCCTATTGTCTTATATGTAATGATCAACCACCACTTTGTGCTCAGCATATACTTAAATTAAGTATTGGATGAAAAATAAAAAACAAATATAACCAGGTTTTTAACTCATAAGAAATATAGTAATTATTTTCCATCTGATGCATAGTTTCCAACCAACAGCCTATATTATATTTGTATTGCTACAAATCTGTTGTGTATGTTTCAAAATTAATAAGTGATTTCAGGACAAGGAGAAATGTAATGGATTTCTGTAACAACTTGACACAGTTTGAAATTACATGAGAAATTTATAGACAAACATTTTAACATTTAAGTAATGTTTTCTTTCAGTTTGTTTAGTGTATCATGTACAAGGTTCATGATCACAATGATTCCTACACTCTCTCTATGCTATAATCTAAGATCTGATTGTTTTACACAGACCTGGTTCCTAGTCTCCTGGTCCGTAGCCCCATGAAAATTGACCTTATGAGTTTTCCAAAGGAGGCAGCATTGACTGGGTCCAACTTGTGCTCCTGACAGTGTCGTAAGTAATGATTGTAAAGCGTACTTCTGGGGAGACTGACTCCTTCTGCTGTTTCATAGTTGTCTAAGAGCCACTGGAGCTATTTCAAATAGGAGACAGTGAAGAAAAGTAAATTCAGATAATTTCACAATAAACGTTTTAGGCTATTATTAACATAGCTGTACAATACAAAGCTTCTTAGTACATTTTGAGATTGCTCTTAATGTCTATTCAATGGTGACATTTTTCTTCAAGTGAAGGCAGTCCTCTTTAGAGGTGTTAGATATACAATGGTGTCTTTGAGTCTTTCAGAAATACATGGAAATAGCAGAACTCATAACACTTGTGACCTCAGATAGTTCCCATTTCTTAAAGTATTCAAGAGTCCAGTACCACACATTAATTTTCTGTACACTGATCTAGGCTTTGGACACAAATTGTTAGTACTTTAGGGAATTTAACCAATCATAAATGTATTTAAACAACCACAGAAAGGAAACTGCTTGTTGAACTGATGGAGAGTCATTTAATCCATCTGCATTATTAGACTAATGTATTGCAGAGTTGTTTCGTTTCCCCAGGCACTCAGATCAGTTACACTATTTAACTGAACAAGATTTATTCTTTTATTTTTTAACCATAAATAAAGAACCAAAAAACAAACACAAGGCAAGGAGCAATCTAGGTGATGCTGAAATGAACTAATACAACTATTACAGATTATGGGCCCAATTCTGCTTCCATTGAAGCCAAATGGAATTTTGTCATTAACTTAAGTGGGAACAGGACTGAGTCCTATAAAAACTCTCTCTCCAGGTCATTTAATTTAGAACTTTAGTGGGTAGTTTTGAAAGCTGGCAGAAAAACACTTACATGCCGAGTACTTCAGTGGCTCTATAGTAAGAGGCACAAATGGTATCTTTTTGGGAATACTTACAACATATATAATATAAACTGCCACTAACAGATGAGAAAACAAACTAAGAAAAAGCACTTTAACAAGGTCGACTGCCTGTGTCAGTTTCACTCCGATCTTCCCACCAGCTTTAACTGAGTAGAAAAATGATAGCACAAAATAGGAGTATTTTTATATGATGGTTATACTTAAATTGTGTGAAAGTCTGTGGTTTCAGTTTTCTAGGGTTCTGATAATCTTTCATTTGGCTTACCATACCACAGATTTATATCCCCCAGAATTTTCCTTTGAGTTTTGGGTTTGAATGAGCCCAAAAATGTAAACAGGAAAGCAGCTGAAATTGCCAAGTTTCACCAGTTTTGATGTCAAAGCCAAGAGCATGATTTCAGTGTGAATCTTTAAATCAGTCAGGTTAATGGATTTTACAAAAAATCTGGGCTCAGTTTTGAGTTTCCAATGAAACTCCAAACCAGGCATTTTAAAATGATTTCAACCAATGCAACAAAATTTTGTTCTGATGCATTAGTTCTCAACAGAAATGTGTAACAAATTTTAATGTAAAGTATCAAGGCAAAACATGAGTAATATATATATATGTTCTTAACAGCAGCAAAAAGATCAGTTTACGTGATAATACTGTAGTCTGTCGCATTCATTTACTAATAAAGAGTGGTAACACAAACTTTTCAATGATAAGGAAGAGAAAACTTTTGCTAATGTTGAACATAATCACTTAAGACACAGATCTTAAATATTTTAATGTGAAAAAATTTAATTCTGTATTCCTAAAATAGAACATTCTTAGATCGTGCCCCCACTCTACAGTCACTCTTACATTAGTACTCACTAAAATCTAGAGGTATAATTAATGTACTGGACTCTCACCTCCGTTTCAATCAGAGTCATGTGCACTTTGCCAAGTGCAACGAGAACAACAATTCACCCAAGACCTTTTAGAGGCTATCTTCATGTTCTCCTTTTCCATGGAGAACAAAATAGAAAACAAAATTGTAATTCTTTAGTTTATGTTCTAAAATATGAGCTGAGATGGCTTCTATTGTTTTAACTTGCTAGCACGTAATATGAATGACAAGTAGGCAAATACCCACAAGAAGAAATGTCTCTGTGTTTGACGTACTTAAATGGTTCCACAATGTAGAGCTGTTAGCCAGACTTTTAGACAATTTTGCACTTTAAATAGAATCTAATAAAACAGAGCAGTTTATCATCCTTATTTCAGCTGGTAGATCTAAAATCATTATTTAAAAAAATACTGAGTCATAGTGTTCACAAATGTCTTTTAAATTGGTTGTTTACCATTCTGATATAAAACCTATGAAAAAAAATATCACTGGAAACTTTAACCTTTACCTTGGTTTATTTAAAAAAACACTACTTTTTTCACTAATGAACTGACATAAGCATATCTGAGGCTAGAAACCAAGATAATTACATCTTTCAACCTTTGCATTTAATCTCCGTTAATCAGGATAGATTAAGAAGGGTGAACTATTCTTATTTTTCCCCAAAGGGAAATACTGACTGACAAACAAACAAACAAAAAATGCATTTCCCAATTAACTTCTAAATGTAACATTTGGGGTTTTTTTTCCAGATGGATTATAACCTATTAGGATTCATTTTAAGTGCACTTTACTAATGATCTGAATTCTTGACAGATATTATTTCAACTATAACTTGCATTAGCCAATGTTGGCACAGCATAATCCAAGATAAGCATAGAACAAGGATTTTTGCTCTAGGGTGGATGTATTTCAGTGGCAAAAGGCATCAAGTGATTATTTGCTAGATTGCTGGAAAGAAGAGTGCCCAAGGCTGTATGTAATTTTAAAAGGAAAATAATCTACAAACATTATACAGCTATTGTAAACATATTTCTTCAATGCAGAATAAGAATTCGACACCTGAGCTGTTCAGGATTTGAATACTAGCTTGTTGACTAATAGTATTAGTAGCATTTAAGGATGGATAAGTATGAAGTGTTTACACGGTAAAAACTGGCAAATTGACTCTGGCTTCACTAAAACTCCGATGTTTATACAACATTCAATTATAAATTGATTAGTCAAGTCAACCTCATGCACAAAGAAATCAGAAAAAGAAAAAAGTAGAGGAGAAATGAAAAATGAGCAAGCATCAATAAAGGCAACCACACTCCAGGATGGCTAACAATGGAGGTATAGTACCATAGAAAGCCAAGTCAGCAGACTATTATTTTTGAGAGTTTAAATTTTTGTCATGGATGAATAGAACATTTGTAATGTAAAAGGTAATTCTAATGAAATTCACAGCTTTTCAGGCCTGATCTAAAGCCCATTTATATCAGAAGTGTCTCTACTTTGACTTAATGCGCTTTGGCTCAGACCTCTGGAAATCAAAATGAAGGGTAGTTTGAGAAATAGGGAGAAAACAAAAAAACATATTACATTTCTTCCATGTTACACCAATTTGAGTCAGAAGGCAAAATAAATACAGTTTTAAAAATAGGCAAACTATAAAATAAATTCAACCATTTTCTGTCAACTTCTTATATGGGTGATTGGGGCTGTCAAGACTATCATGTCAAAGAAATATGTTTGTGTGTCCTATACAGGATCAAAGACAGAGCCCTATCCTGATTACATACTGATCTTTTATTAAAATTTGAAATAATGCCCAAATTAAAGGAACAAAAGAGAAAAGTAGTGACATAGTATAATGGGTACATGTAAATATTATTAGCAGAAAGGTATTTGTAAATAGTGCATATAACTATATACGTCTATATGTAAATAATGGAATAAAGTTACCCAAGGTAAACAGCCTATCATCTAGCTCTTCTTAGATATGATGTTAAGGATTGTGTGCTTCCATATGGGATTCAAGACAAAGTAACAGCTCTCTGTATCTCCAGTTTTAACATGCTTTGGCCCTTTGCCAAGGTTATGATCTCTTCAGAATGGTATTTAATTAACCCTGATAATGCAATTTCTAGGCAGCCTTCTATCTTCAAAACAACATTTCTTTTTAACATCCAAGATAGAATTTAAAAGTCTTAATCACATTGATGCTATTCAATCTCTCTTCCCACAATTTTAGCAGTTTCTAAAGTTGTTTTCTCTTTCACGTGTTTTAGAATCAATCCCTTATTGTTTCTTGCCATCATGATGGGAAACTTTCACACAAAGTTATTGGTTTTTCAGGTTCCAATTATGGGACATTTTCAGAACAAAATATATAATTGCTTTGGTTTGATTTCTAAATTATTGTGTCTACTGTCATGAAACCAATTGATAGTACAAAAATAAACTTTTGAAATTGAGATTTAGTTTCCTATTCTCCATTTTTTTGGTAGAAGAATAAAAAAGTGTGATCAGAGAATAAGAATCATTTTGATTAGTAGCCTTAATATGTGATAAGGAGGGAACATATACAAATGCCAAACAATATAATTTAAATAAAGCAACTTTTACCAGCTGGAAAGATATTTCTGGAAAAACTTGGGCTGGCAATTCATTTTATAATTTATACAGTAAATTGGAGATTAAGCTTTGGGCCCTTTTCCCTCTCTATACAAAAGTTACATTTAATATCTTTACCACTATATTTTAAAATGCTGTTTTTATACGAACACCCACCTTAGGCAAAAGTTATTCTTACTGAAGATTCTTTTTTTTAGGATTTGTAAATTCAGACCAAATAAAGAGGCACAAAGAGCAAAACATATCTCCAGCTTTCAGAGTAATCAATTGTTTTCATTTTTTCAGCCCATGGAGGCAACATCTTGTATAAGTCATTTAACAGAAATACCAACACCACTTTATGGACCTTCAGCATTCTTTTGTCATTTTCAATAAATTCATTATTCAAAATAAAGTAATGCCATTCTCTAAAATAATCCAAAAGATATTACATACTCATACTGCATGCTCCACCCCCAAAAAATTATTATACAGTGCCCAGATTCTTTTTAGAGGCTAATTTTATCTCAAATACCAACCCCCTGGATAATTAAGAATTTTTCAATGATTATTTTCACAATTACATTATTGTGAAACTCAGAATGTGGTAACACCTGTGGACATAATGCAGAACCTAAGAAACTAACTCAATAATATATATGTATTTAGTGACATTTCACCTGACAAAACATAGCCATGGGAGATGCTGTATAAGATTACAAGTGACTGAGAAGGGAAGATTAAGAGGCCAAAAAAATAAAATAAAATAAAATATCAATAAAACCAAACAGGCATTTAGAGACAGATTAAGCATGCAGACAAAGCAGGAGATTAGTTTACATGAAGAAGAGGCAACTTACATGGCTGTTGAGAAGAGAGCTTCTGTGAGTGGACAGACCATCAGACTTTTGCAGTGTCTCAATCGCCATTTCAATCTGATAATAGATGTCATTAAAAAAAGGGCTCAAGACAAGATAGTAATAAAAGGCTGACCAGAGAAACTTTGATAGATTGCTTAAAGTTCAACAGGAATTGCTTAAACTTCAGTCCAGGTTATTGAACAAATTCTATTAACTGCCTGATTCTGGAGTCCCTGTGAAAGCAAAACTCCCAGTAACTTTGGGAGGCATTTTGCTTTTATACACATTGAAGGATCAGGCCCTCAGAAAATTCAATTCACCCTCCTCTCTGCTCAAGAAATAAAACAAGCACAAAATTTATTTCTAAGTCACAATGCAAATATAAAAACCTTCTGAACATTCAGTATCTTTAACCAAACGCAGAGGGTGGGGTGGGGAAATACAACCCACACCCGAGGTCCTGAAGAGTTTTTCCCAAGGATATGAGAAAACCCCTTGCATAGTTTGAAGTCAGAGATATGAACTCGAGGCAACATTTTTTCTCTTTGTGCACCCAAACACCTAGAGTGAACTCCTACATGCTCTGAATTCAATGGGAGTTTAGCCATTAGATTCAGTGGTGGCTGGATTTTAGCCTTCTTCCCTGACATAGCATTTTTTACACATCCAAAGATCTCAGGAAAGTTGATGGAAGTTTGGGTGTGCACATAGTGCAGGTTTCAGCTCTGAGAAAATATTCTAATTTATTCAGAATAATTTTACCTTTTAAGATGAAAATTATTATTATATATCACCCCTTAAACATACAGCAGTACTATTCCTAATGCATATGTGTAAAGACCCCCACCCAGTCTTTTTTTCATAACTTTGGATCTTAATGTCACTTTTGGCTGCTTCCGTAGTAGCGTTATTGAGTAAAATTACAGGGTAATTGTAGTTCTGTATTAAGTGTAACTGTGGCTACAGCAGAGAAAAAACATTGGAAATGACAGAGGCAATGAGATGTAAAATAGAAAAGCTTTCATGGAAACACCTTCCCACACCCACACCTTTTTTTAGAGTTCAGTAAGAGGACAGATAATCATGTTCACTCAGTGTGCAGTAAAAATAGCAAGAAATGAATTAGTCTTGTAAAATGGAAAAAACAAAAACATGGCATATTCAAAACTAACTGTAAGTTTAAAGACACTTATCTTTTTCCCGATAGATAATTTTTATTGAATCCTCTCCCCCCACACATTGCCTTATTACCATACTACCCACAGATTTTCCAGTCTAATTTACAAGCATCAGTAGGGTTCATCAATACACATATGAACTGAAATAAAAAAGATTTCAGATGTCATGTATTAGACTTTACTAGCACACATGCAAAATTAACTTCTCCCTTGTTACAGTAATAATTTTATTGCAACATTAATTAAAAAGGTACTTTTCTTAATCTTGAACATTACATTTCTCTTTCGGACAGTTGTTTTTGTTTTAGAAATGCAAGCCCTTTTTATTCAGGTAAAGTGTTGAAAAGAATGTCTGATTACAAAATAAATGACATAATTTTGACAAGGCTAAAGAACAATTTTTTTTTGCTAAATTATGATAATCTAGTCTGACCTCCTACATAACACAGGTCATAGAGTTTCACCACATAATTCCTGCATCAAGCCTGTGACTTCTGGTTGAGTTAGAGTATTTCATAGATACGTAGATTCCAAGGCCAGAAGGGAACCATTGTAATCATCTAGTCTGACCTCCTGTATAACAGAGGCCACAGAGCTTCCCTAAAATAATTCCTAGAGCAGATCTTTTAGAAAAACATCCACTCTTGATTTAAAAATGATCTGTCATGGAGAATCCATCATGACACTTGGTTAAATGATGATTTGCTCTCATTGTTAAACATGTACATCTTATTTCCAGTCTGAATTTGTCTAGTTTTAACTTCCAGTCATTAGCTCTTGTTAAACTTTTCTCTGATAGACTGAAGAGCCCATTATTAAATATTTATTCCCAACGTAGGTAATCATAGATTGTAATCAAGTCACTCCTTAACCTTCTCCGTGTTAAAATAAACAGATTGAGTTCCTTGAACCTATTATTATAAAGCATATTTTCTAATCTTTTCATCATTCTCGTAACTCTTCTCTGAACCCTCTCCTTTATCAACATACTTCTTGAATTGTGGACACCAGAACTAGACATAGTTTTCCAGCGGCAGTCGCACCAGTGCCAAATTACAGAGGTAAAATAATCTTGTTACTCCTACTCAAGATGCTCTTTGTTTATTCGGCTAAGGAGCGCATTAGCCCTTTTGGTCACAGCATCGCACTGGGAGCTCATGTTCAGCTCATTTTACAGCATGACCCCTAAATCTTTTTCAGAGTCACTGCTTCCCAGGAATAAGTCCCCCATCCTATAAGTATGGCCTATATTCTTTGTTCCTAGTTGTATACATTTACCCATATTAAAATGCACAGTTTGCTTGTGCGCAACATACCAAGACATCCAAATTTTTCTGTATCCTCTTAGTTATTTATCACTCCCACTATTTTTGTGTAATCTGCAAACTTTATCAATGATGATTTTATGTTTTCTTCCAGATCATTAATGAAAGTGTAAAACATAGTAGGGCCAAGAATCGATCCCTGCAAGATGCCACCAGAAACACACCCATTTGATGATTACATTGTCAGACCTATCAGTTAGCACAGCATTAGCTTTCTTCTAATACTTCCCCGGTGTTCCACGACATATTGAAAATCAATATTAATGATCCAGCAAGCTCTTCAGCTAGCTCTTTTAAAACTCTTGGATGCAAGTTATCTGAATCTGCTGAGTTTAAAATGTCTAACTTCAGTAGCTGCTGTTTAACAGCCTCTTGAGATACTAGTGGAATGAATGTGACTATATCATCTGTTTTTCCCCCAAATACAGAACAAATGTTTATTGAACACTTTTGCCTTTTCTGCATCATTATTGATATTTGGTAATTCTACCATTTCCACTAGACCAATACCATTGTTAGGATTCTTTTTGTTCCTAATATACTTTTTAAATATTCCTTCTTACTGTCCTTAATGCTGCTGTCCATAAATTGCTCCTTCTGTCCCTTTGCTTCCCTTATCAATTTTCTATAATTCCTAGCTTCTGATTTATATTCATTACTAAGAACTTCCCCTTTCATCCACTGGTTATATATTAAAAAAAAAAATTATAGCTGTTTTCACACCCCTTCTAAACCAGGCTATGTTTTTGTAAGTCAATATGGCCTTCTTCCTTGATTCTGGGTATGTAGTAAAGTGTTCTTAAAGAATTACCAATTATCATTCACAGTTTCCTGATTACATTATTCCTCCCAGCTGATCTGGCTCAATTTTTTTTATCTTTGTGAAACTGTCTCCTTTAAAGCACGAAATATACATCAACTGTTCTTTGAAAAGGAAGTGGTGCTAGTGAGGTGAGTTAGGCTGACAGGCTGACCTGGGATCAAAGAGGCCTGAAGCAGCAGTGATCATCTCAAGAGAGAATAGCCCAGACTTGAACAGACAGAAAAATTAAACTTGAGAGATTCTGTCAGGATTCTCCACAGCAGTAGTGGAGCCTTTAACAGATTATAATGAATTTTGCTAAAGCAGACAAAAAAGAAATGGAAGCTGGAGAGATGGAATTATTCTAAGCATGGTATACCAAAAGCTTTTTAAATATACCCTCAAAAGAAATACAAATTATAAAAATAAATTAAAAAATCTTCTCTGAAGAAGATTGTCTCTGGAGTCTTCTCTGAGTGTCTACTTTAAAATAAAATATAAATAAGCCTTAAAAACCTATTATTTTTCTTAAAATTGATCAATTCAATTACAAAAATAAGCAGGATCAATCACAATCAAAAGTTTATAATTGCTACTGGACAGAAAACCTGGTGCAATTGCAGATCCTTAATATGTCTGAAACCACAAACGAATATACATATTGGCTGATTAATATAAACTTTGTTATATTATCATTTTTTATATAAGGCATGTACATACTTAACATATTAGGCATGGGTGAATATCCAGAATGTTTGGGGTTTAGATAAGCATCTAAAAAGTTAAGTTTTTTTTCGAAAACTCATTCAAACTTTTAGCTTCTCCTCTCCAGCCAGACAACTTTCCCCAATAGGCCTAAGCTTCCCACCTGACATAATCCAGTCTTCTGGGAAGAGGACTAGTGGCTATCTACTCTCCTTTACTGGCATCTTAAAAGGGTGGCCAGCTCATCACTCCCCTCAAATCCTCCATTAAGCAATCTATTGGGTGTGCCAGTTCTTTCTCTCCCTTCTTCTGCAGAAAGACCCTAAACTCTCCATTGGGTTTCACTGCTGTTGGCTTTTTCACAGTTTGTGGCTAATATATCTAAGAGTATACTACACTCAGAAACACAAATCTTCAAGCTCTCACATATGGACTTGTAGATCTGGCTTTGTGTATGCCTCAATCCCAAAGGGAAATGTCATTATCTCCCAGAATTTAAGCCTGCTGGGTTCAGTCCCATAGAGAAATCAGAAGCGAGAAAGAAAAGAAGTTCATTTCAGGCTATAAAAACACTCCAAAAAAGCTGTGACAAAATATTTTATCTGAATCAGTTTGCCTTCCCCTAGTGTGTACAGCTATAAACTGCCAACTTAAAAGAAAAAAAAAAAGTTATTTCACCTAGGAATGGCTGAATTGTTTGGATACATTAAAACTGATCCCAAACCATCACCCAAAACACAACCACCCCAGAATAAAATAAAACTATGACACTTTATAAGTTTATATATTTTTTAAAATAATTCTAATTGTGCCATTAACATGGTGTATTACTACCATTGGGCCACCTTTTTTGTTTGTTAATACCCTTTCTCCTACCCTCAGATGCCTAGCTGGTGTGGTTTTGTTTTTTTTAAATAAGGAGCATAAGCTCTTTCAGATATGAACCATGCCTCCTTTTATGTTTGGAGAGTGCCTAGCACACTGTGATTCCAGAAACAATAAATAATAAGTATGGGGATTCAAAATATTTTTAGTTATTTGCTTTGTTTTAATTTTATGTACTTTCTGATTGAACTAAAGGATCTACACTACGAAAAATGTTCCAGCAGTGTGAGTGGAAGACTGCTTGCGTTTGGTGATGCCTTTTATGCATGGCACCACATTACTTGCTGATCAATCCCGAAACTTGTTAGAAGCAGCAGGACTGACAAACGGGAGCCTCTCATTGGCTAACAGGCATTGCAACACACTTACTGTTAAGTAGTTAAATAAATTGTTTTAAGTTTTGACATCAGAAAAATATTTGTAAAATAATTCTCTTTTATCACAGGGAAAGTGCATATGTATTTGAGTATGGGGAGACTGTCTGGAGATTCAGGTTCTATAATTTAGAGGCTGTTGATATTCCTATTACTTTCTTGTCTTTACTGAACCTCTGCAGCCCTCAGCAACTCCTACCTCATTCATCTACCACCTTGGATGGAACATGCAACCTTCTTCAATATCACTGTAAATACCAGCATAACAATCAACCAGTAACAGGAAGAGAGTTCTGCAACAATGCAACTGGAGTCTTTTCTTGACTTGTCCAAACACTCAAACCAAATGTACCAATTTTACTATGTTATTAATTTCAACTGAACTTGGCCTACCCTCATATCAGCATCACACACTACTGCTGCATCTCTGGTCTGGCTGCCATAAGTTTTTTAGTACAATAAACTATTCTTAATAACTAGGAAAATGCAAATTATTACAGCTAAACAGAAGAGCTAAGTGTTTGATGGAAATAAGCAATGCCAATGGAGGAAATGTAATGAGTAACATGAATTCTAACAAACTTTCCTCATGCATGCCAATGTATCCCTCAAGTATATTTATGAAAGAGAGATTCTCAAAAGTTCACAACTGGTAATTAACGGAATTCCTGCTGTAACCTGAGAAGGGCACTGTCAAGTATTGTGGACTCAATATTTGTTTTGTAAAAGTTTTACAAAAGCAAATATGAATATATTTTCATGATCCAAAACAAAATATGATTTTATTTTATTTAAACAGTCCTCAAACATTACAGGAGAAAACCAGCAAAGTGTGTACCAAGGAATGCCACTAGACAGCTGGTGATCACATGGTTGCCAAAAGCTTTGATGATGTGATATGATCGCCAATGATGAACATAAACTGAACATCCAGCCAGATTACCTTAATGATTTAGCTAGATCTGCAAGAAGGCTACATCCTTGGGATTTGCCATGATGGATGATGATTATGATACATCTCAAGATTATGCTGATACATGAGAAGAAGCATAAAGTGAAAGTGAACAAAAATAAAAGAAAAACTGTCAATGATAGTCTATTTTTGTTGAAGAGCGCAATAAGTAAACAGACAGCAAATCTGAAGAAAAATAAACTGGATTTTTTTAGATTTTTCCCCCCACTTCTAATAATCTAAGGTACTGTGAGTAACACAGGTTATTTTTTTTTTAAATTGACTTTTAACTTGACAGCATCCCTTTAATGTCATATTTTGACACCAAAACCAATCTATCTAATCTTTTTTTAAAATCAGGACTAGCTAAAATTTTTTTAATAAAACTAAACTGTTAAGTTCTACAGAAGCTTTGTGATTTGATGAATGGGGATGAATGACAGCAAATAAAGTTGCTTAGTGCAAGTGACAAAACAGAATTAGATACAGATATGACAAAAGTGATAGAGGTTATGATGTGCGCACACAAATGGCAATAAGCAAAATTTTAGTTGCTTACATTTCCTTTGTCTCCTTGTGAAAATTATATAAATTCATTCAAAAGGCTTGAAAAACTTTGCTGCATATTTATCACAATGACAAACAGCTTTGATACACGTTATTTAGATCACTCAAAAGAATTCTTTAGACAAGTATAGAAAAGCGTTATGATGATGCAATTAAGATGAGGGTCACAAGTGAAATGAGTTCTAGCTATCTGAGCTTGAGTCAGCAATGCATATAAAAACACTGTACTTTATTGCTAAAGATTGGCTGGTATATTATTAACTTCCAAGTAAAATTAAAACTCAGTAGGTATTTCAGATCAATTAACAGTTTGAGCTGAACCTTTTACATTTCAGTCAAACGCTTGTATGTAATCAGTTGAACCCATATATACCAAGTGCCCAATGTAATAAAAAAAATTCATACACCATTTAGCAATTTCCTGCTTAACATTTTAGCAGCAAGAAATGCATTTGCAATTTATTCAGTTTCCTTAACCAGACACTCAAACAAATACAAGGTACCTTCTGAACATGGGGGAAGAGGAGAAATATTATTGTAGTGATAAAAGAGCAATTTTACAAATACAAAGTATTTTTTCTGCACTCCTAAAACAAACGTGCTACGGTAATGTACACAGGAACACACTATATGCTTAAGACAACTTTTTTAAACACAAACAGCAAGAGCAGGGGAATTGAGATAGATATTTACCTTAAAAATATATTTTATTTTGCAAGCCAATTGTTTCTGTTCAAAATGATCACAAAACACAGAAAAAATATTGCTTGTCTTAATGTGTTAAAATTATAATTGCTGGAAAAATCACATTTTAAACTGTCTATGCTCTTAAAAGACGCATTGTTTCAAAGGCAATGTGTCTTATGTAAAGCAAAAATTAACCTGGCAAATACAATTGTTGAATTGTAGATTATATTATAAAATCCTTTGTAAATATAGAGACATGCTTCTCCATATTTGGGCAAAAATTCTAATTTGGTTTTCAGTTGCAAAATTTAACATGGGACTTTCAGACTAGTAAAAATTTTCAAGTAAATCAGATTTCAATGCAAGTCCAGTATTCTTCACTTTTCTGAAATATTTTTTTCAATTATGTTTGCTGTTTACATTTAATCAACAGTTTGCCCCCGCTGAGCTCATCTTTTCCACTTATTTTATTCTGCTGTCACTTCAGACTGCTGAACTTATGACATATTATTTTATATGGTAACAGAACGGCATCAGAATGGCATCATCCTATTAAACAAGATTATATCTGTGCTGGTAGGATCAGGTAGCTTTCTTGCTACTGGGTTATAAAGAGGGGACGTTATTATTCAAACGTAAAGCCATTAATAATAGCTAAGAGAACACAAGAAAATATTTGCCATTTAATTTTTTTTCTAGAAACATCTGTTGTGGAGATGACCCTTCTCTTCACTTTTGCCTACAGGAAACTACTCTAGTTCTGCACCTATTTTTTAATCCTAGGACACATACTAAACTGGCTGTAAGACCAAAACTGCAGAATTTCTTCAATTTCATTGAATTGGGCTATAGAAGGAACTAATGCAAAATGTTCTATATAAAAGCCATGAAAAGGAAAAATATATGATCAGAGATTTTTTAATTAAATAAATCTGATTTATCAGTGATACTCCTTTAAGAACCACCTTTTAAAGTTAAAATACTGTAAATGCTACAACATATAATCCTTTTCCTTTAGTAATCAAAAAACATGCATATAAAAACTCCTGCTGCAGGCTGAATCTCTGTTCTCTTAATTTTCCAATATAATATGACTTAGGCTATGATTCAGAATTCTTTACGTTTTTTCTTTTCATTCATAACAGTCCTCAATAAAAGAATTTACAATACCATATAGTGATGGCAGTTTCAATGTTAGCGGGAAATATCACCTTTTACTTTTAATAACCCAGATTGCATTTAGTCCTTGTTTATATTAATGCAATTAATTGTTATTTTACAAGATCATTTGAATTATCTGATGCCACAGTAATGGGCTCATCATTTCAAATGCATGCAGCTTCAAATGTTGACATATTATTTGTTGATTTTTACTGATTTCAGCTGTCTCCAAAACTAAAATCCCTTAGTTTTTTAGTAACTTTTTGCACTAATATATAAATACTATTTAGTCATGCTCCATCTTGCTTGTCCTCTTCTCCTGAGGACATTTTTCAGTTTGCTCTTTCTACTTCACTTTCCATAATTTCACTTGTCCTTTAATTTCTAATGTCCATAATCGGGGCAGAATCTCCTCAAGGAGTAGGTAAAAAATGTACACTAGAGCTATTCAGCAAGGATACAGTAAATATAAACCAATTTTTCTTAATTAGAATCAGGACTGACTAAGTTCTTAAGGGAAAGGACTATGTTTGCCTTGTTTGTCTATATAGGTTAAGGTCACCCATCACTGTAGTAACAGAATGCTTCTTAGTATCTATATTTAATACACCTAGTACAATGAGGCTCTGATCCTCAGAAGATTGGGGTCTTTGGGAGTTACCAGAAATATAAAATAATAATTGGGAATGACCAGAAATAATAAATAATAATAATAAATAACAAGCAGAACAATACTAAAAGTTAATATAGTGGAACAATTCAGAATTAGTGGTGACTATTTTGAGATATGATACAAAATAAATACCAAAACTGGATTTAGAAAATGCAATGAATGCAAAGAAGTTACATATATCTGTAGAGTTAAGATATTAGTTATAAAATTCAATTATATAAACAAAGTGTTCCTTGCAAGGTAATATTTTGTTTCTTTTTCAGAAAGCATAAAAACATATGTCCAACAATTTAAGGCCCTGATCCTGCAAATACTCAAGCATGCACACAACTTTATGCACATGAACAGCATAATGAACTAAATGGAGTTCTTCATATGCACAAAGTTAAGCACCTTTATAAGTGTTTGCAGGATGGGGATCAAAATTACTTATTTTTTCAAACACATTATTTCGGTTACAAGAAACATACATAGTCATAAAAGAGCACAACAGGGACCAGGAAACTTGCTCTAAAAATTTATGTAGTTCTGAATACTTACTGTAGCTGGGGAGGCCCGCATTGTATGAGTCACTGAATGAGCAGAATTTTCCATTGAATTGCCAATCAGATAGGTCCCTCCAGAGCTGCTAATGAGTTGTCCTCCTGTGACACCCATTTGAATCCCTCCAGAGCCCACCATACTATGAGATGAGACCACTGTTGTCACTTGTGCAGAACCTCCTTGAGTATCAAAGTAATTCCCCCCGGTGTTTTGGCTATACATCTGGGTTTCTGTATAAGGGTAAGTTGTTGTTCGGCTTTAGGAAAAGAAAAAAAAAAAGGTATTTATTTGTCTTCTTTATTGGGTGAGTGCAATGTTAACACTGTGGAAATGAGTATACAATCAAATTAAATAAGACTGGTGCACAACCCATGCACTGACAATAGCATTTTGCAATGTCTAAGCATTGAGTAATTGACTTCCATGACTAAGTATTGAAATAAGTATTTTTCCCCAATATGGATCATCAGGTGGGCTTGAACTCCAACCTTTCAGATCCTCAGCAAAACCAGGGCCCTATTTGGCAATTTTAATTTTTGTCCATAGAATTTGCTGCAGAATTCACCCCCTTGTTGCAGGATTGCATCCCAGAATCTGATTGATTTTCAGTTGCATTTTTAGACATTATTATTGCAGAGAAAATCTCAAAAATGTGAACCGAGTTTAAACCCAATCCAGTGTCATCTGTCTGCATCTGCGGAGAACATGAAGCAATAGCTCTGGGAATTGTGACCTGCCCCAATCATCTTAATCAGAGGCACTTTGAAATTCTGTGGCTGAGCAATTTGGCACTTTCCCAAGTTGCCATGGAATTCAACTTTTTTGTCACAGAATTCACCATATCCCTGCAACTGTGCACCTGATACTTTTCTTCCTGTCTGTGTCCCTACTAGGGTTGCCAGGCATCCAGTTTTTGACTGGAATGCCTGGTTGAAAAGGGACCCTGGTGGCTTCGGTTGGCACTGCTGATCAGGCCGTTAAAAGTCGAGTCGGTGGCGCAGTGGGGCCTGGGGTTAATGCAGGCTCCCTACCTGCCCTAGCTCCGCGCGGCTCCCAGAAGCAGCCTCCAGGTTCCTGCAGTCCCATGGCACATGGGCGCCCAGGAGAGCTCTGCACGCTGCCCTGAGCATCGGCTCCCATTGGTCGGGAACTGCAACCAATGGGAGCTGCGGGGGTGGTGCCTGCAGGGCCGCAGGGAGCTGGCGACCACTTCCTGGGAGCCGAGGTAAGTGCCGCTGGAACCCCGCAGCCCCTCCCCCACCCCAACCCCCTGTCCCAGCCCTGAGCCCCCTCCTGCACCTGAAACCCCTCATCCCTGGCCCGACCTCAGAGCCCACACCCCCAGCCAGAGCCCACTTTCCCTTCCACATTCAAAACCCCTCGGCCCCAGCCTGGAGCCCCCTCCTGCACACCAAACACCTCATCCCCAACTCCACCCCAGAGCCCGCACCCCTCCCGCACCGCAACCCTTGCCCCAGCCCGAAGCTCTGTCCCGTACCCTTAACCCCTCATTTCTGGCCCCATCCGGAGTCCATACCCCCAATCCAGAGCCCATGCCCCCCCCCGCATCCCAACCCCCTGCCCCAGCCCAAAGCCCTCTCCCACACCCCAAACCCCTCATCCCTGCCCCACTCCGAGCCCTCACCCCCCTTTTGCACCCCAAACCCCAACCCCAGGCCAGTGAAAGTGAGTGAGGGTGGGAGAGAGTGAGCAAGGGAGGGAGGGGAGATGGAGTGAGTGGGGGGTGGGGCCCCGGAGAAGGAGCAAGGGAAGGGGGTGGGGCTGTTCTGTTTTGTGCGATTAGAAAGTTGGCAATCCTGGTCCCAGCTGTGCCAGAATCTGGCTGCTGCCTCCTGCCCTCCAGAAGGGTGAGTTAATTGGATGGCAGTGTATGCTGCCTACATTAAACCATGAAACCAGACAGCACAGGGTGAGGGCACCCAAAATTACTATCCTTCTGGACAACAAGGCATGGGCAAGACTTTCTATGCACTTTGTCAACACTACTCTATAATTATTCAGAAGAGTCCATGTGCATAAGGCAGACCACTCCCCTTTCCTCACAAGGGGTTGAGCATTCTGCCTTAACAAAAGAGTCTAAGAGACTGGAACAGGAAATAGATACCAGGTCAGCTGCTGAGCAGTGCCCTACTGGCCATGACAATACATTGTTCTTTTAAAAGAACAAAGACTTACACTTGATTTATTAACAAATCAGCAGAGCAAGGGCTCAGTGGTAATTTATCCTTCTCTAGATTCTGCAATCTATTAGCTTTTAAACAATGGCAGAATCACAGAATACATGGGGCCATGATAATAGCACAGACCAGAACTTGATAGCTTAAATTACCTTTACACTCTGGCCATCATGAACTCCCTCGGGATTCTTCCTTGTCATTCAGAGCCACTTTAGAAGCTATGAAGCTTCACTTTAAAAAATTGTAATGCTTTTAAATCCTTGTGCTATACTATTATTGTCATGAGAGGGTGGAGCTTCTAAAGTAGCTTTTGAAGTTTTTTTTTTTTAAATGATTCCAACCTTCTTTGTAAAGTCTATTGAGATCTATACATGAAAAGCACTATATAAGAGCTAGGATTTTTATTATTAATTATTATTATTATTATTTCAAAAGTATAAAAACAGCCATGAGAATTCACCACCAATCTAAGAAGACTGCAGCATCATACAGAATAAAACAAACAAAAAAAACCTGTGAAAAAATATTTGGTGAGGAGGGAGTTCCTGGATGTGCGTTCTACTCTTTAGTAACACCTCTTCCTGAGAACTGGAAGCATTCAATCTTGTGCATCACAATACACCACCAGGCATGCCAGTTACTAAAGTTCTGTGCATGCCCTGTTATATTTTATTGTTTACGTACCATTTTCCTCTAGAAATTTTCAAAAAAAATTAATACTACTAAAAATAAAACTTCAGGGACAAAAAAGTTGTTTTACAGAATGAGTAGTTTGTAGCACATCAGAACAGAAACCAGCTATCCAATTGTGAATTCAGTAAATCTAGGCATTACTGTAATGCTACTACTAAAATAAATTTGAAGTTGCACAGCTGAATTTCTAACAACTGACTATGGGCACCTAAATACTGTTACTATGTTTGTTTGTTTTTTAAATTCTTCAGTTTCTACTGTCATACTTTTTGGGGAAAACGTGTATAATAATCGTGAATAAATGCACTGATACAGAAAGGATAAATCTTGTTATTGTTCTCCCTTAAGTTTAGACTGTGTGTATGCACACACACAGAGAGTGATGTATTCCCAGCTGACTCTATTATTAGGTTTTATGTAAACGTCAAGACTCTGATCTGTTCACTTCTATAAATTAGTGCTCCTTCCAGCCATCCCATCATGCCTTAGCCAGTACCTTAACTCTACATGACCCTGAATTTTCTTTGAACTACTAATTCGCTAGGTGATCACCATCTCTGTATTTATGTATGTAGGGGTTGTTTTTCATTTTAGAACCACTTTTACTTATACTGTCTTCTTCAAAAATATTTTTTCCTCGCAATGAATTTTCTTCCTGTAATGTCATGTTTTACTTTAAAAAAAAGCAGCCGTCTAATTATACAATTTTGAAGCTGGTTAAGAATCTGAACTCAGGAATGTGCACTCAAGTTGAGCCTATAATTTTTGAGTGTTAATCATCTTTTACTTTATTTTCAGAATCATTATTCTCCAATTGTAAACTGTAAAGATTGAATTATTAATTCACATTGCTAATTATAAGCACTCTCTTCCAAATACAATTCTTGGAAAATACATGAAATAATCAAAATTATAGATACAATATTATAATTATATATAATATTATAAATTTATATATATATATATATATATATATATATATATATATATATATATATATATAAACACACACACAGATATCTAACATTAGAAATACTGGCATATATTACAGTGTCTGTAAAGGGGTAGTACACTTCTGTGTTTAAAATGAGGGAAATGACTTTCTTTGCAATCCTATTAATTTTTCTGTAGTTCTAGTCCACATAAGAAATAAAGGGGCATAATTATAAAACTCAGAATTACTCATCAGACTTTTTTGTGGACTAGCCAGTCTGAGCTGGTAGAAATGTTTGTCAGAAGTTATACTTAAAGTTTTGAAATGTAGATTAGCCTTACACAGGATATAACCATTTCTGAAGGGACTATTCATTGAGCTATATAGAATATGGTGGATGTAAATAAAAATATGGATAGTTCCATATAATGAATAAGGAGCTGTGGACCTAGGATTGTGCATGGAGCTGGTAACCCCATCACATAAAACAAATATAGTACAGGAATGAATGCTGGCAGCCATATTGGTGTGCCACAGGCTCCAAAAAGACATCAGCTTCATGGGAAGAATATGATAGGCATTAGTCAAACCCAGAAGGAAGCCTATGTCCTGAAAAGTACATTGGTCAAGATCAGATCAGTGATGAAAATCAGATTTTGGAATGTGAGAATAATATATGAAACTACTAAAACTGCTAAAAAAAGAAAGAAAGAAAAAGGACAGCTATCATCTTGATGTCCTTGTTATCAGTGAGTGTAGGCGGACAGGTTCAAATAAACTACATTTCAGAGAAACAAATAAGATCATAATCTACTGTAGGAAAGTAGATGATAGCCATGAAGCTGGCACAGAAATTCTAAAGTTGAAAGAAGCTGAGCAGGCACTAAGCAAGTGGGAATAGTTAAATTAAGGAATTATTGGAACTTGTTTTCAGACTAGATTCTTCAAACTAACAGTCATACAATGCTATGCACCAAACCAGGAAAAGCCTGGAAAAGAAAAAAATTGTTTTTTATGATTTGTTATAGGATGTGTTAACCAAAGTCCTCAAATATGATATCACAGTGACTATGCATGATTTTAATGTAAAGGTTGGAAGTAATAATCATAATGTAATAAAGTAATAATGATTGGTTGGATATGATTATGGGCAAATGCGGCAGGGATTTGGACATGAATCAAAATGGTGAACAACAAGCAGAAAGTTGCAGTGTGAATGACCTAGTGATAAGTGGAGCAACACTCCCTTCCCGCATAATGAAATCCACAAAGTGACACTGAACTCCCCAGATGGTACTGCAAAGAACCAGATACATTGCTTCTGCATTTCAAGGAAGTTTTGCAGCTCGCTGGCAGATGTATGTGCATACAGGGGAACAGACATGGGAAGTGACCATAATCTTTGTATCACTAAATTGAAGATCAAGTTAA